TAGAGACGGGGTTTCACCGTGTTAGCCAGGATGGTCTCGATCTCCTGACCTCGTGATCCGCCCGTCTCGGCCTCCCAAAGTGCTGGGATTACAGGGTTGAGCCACCGCGCCCGGCCCAATTTTTTGTATTTTTAGTAGAGATGGGGTTTCACCGTGTTCGCCAGGATGGTCTCGATCTCCTGACGCCCACCTCGGCTTCCCAAAGTGCTGGGATTACAGGCGTGAGCCACTGCGCCCGGCCTAATGTATATTTTTAAAAGGTGAACTAACATAGGGAAAGTGCCCAGCCCCATGCCTGGCCTGCAGGGGCCCTCAGGAAGTGCCCACTTGGGGTCCTCAGCTAAGGAGATGGAGGCAAGGCAGGGGGCAGCCCCTGGCATTTGAGACTGAACCAGTGAGAACTGTACCATTTTTCTCTGGGTGAGGGCACAGAGCAACCACACGGGCCCAAGTTTCCCCGCAGTAGGGGGAAATGCGATCCTACATGGATGTGGGGGTCTCTGGGTACCAGGGACTGGGAAGGCAGGAGTCCTGGCTTGGGGTGAGTCGGGGGTGCGGAGTGGGGCTCCAGCCCTGGTCTACAGCCGGTCCCCCTGCAGTGACGGGTTGGATATTTCTGGCCACCAGCCTGGGGATTTAATTAAGTTAGTGATGAACCCAAGCATATCTCCAGGGAGCCCAGAGCTGTCCCTGCTTTCTCTGCCTGTGGATTAATTCCTGTTTTTCCTTCTTTTGTTTTGTTTTGTTTTTCTCTCCCCCCTCCCCGTCTTTCTTCCCAAGGAATAAAAAAAAAAAAAAAAAGCCTTATTTATTATCATTTTCCCCACCGTTGGCATGGCAACACAGGCGTATACTGAGCTACAGGCAGCCCCGCCACCATCCCAGCCGCCACAGGCCCCGCCACAAGCCCAGCCTCAGCCGCCACCGCCACCACCCCCAGCGGCACCCCAGCCCCCACAGCCGCCCACCGCTGCTGCCACCCCTCAGCCCCAATATGTCACCGAGCTGCAGAGCCCCCAGCCCCAGGCACAGCCACCGGGCAGCCAGAAGCAGTACGTGACGGAGCTCCCGGCTGTACCCGCACCCTCACAGCCGACTGGTGCGCCCACCCCGTCGCCTGCACCCCAGCAGTACATCGTGGTCACTGTCTCTGGTAAGTGCTGCGCGCTCGTGTGTCCCGAAAACTCCTCTCAGAGTTGTTCAGGTAGCCTAGCCCCCAGGTGTGAAGGCACAGGGCTGCTATGCCCCCCAAGGTTTCTGGATGGGACTTGGGGCATCACTAGGGTAGGGGTGCTTAAGCCATACAAGGAGGCCTCTGTCCCCCCAAACTCCTTCCCAGCAGAGCAGATCTTAGAGCTTCTGTTTTTGGTTTTATTTTGTTTTTTGAGACAGAGTCTCGTTCTGTTGCCCAGGCTGGAGTGCAGTGGTGCAATCACAGCTCACTGCAGCCTCAACCTTCCAGGCTCAAGCAATCCTCCCACCTCAGCCTCCCAAGTAGCTGAGACACAGGTGCCCACCACCATGCCTGGATAATTTTTTAAATTTTTTGTAGTGATGGGGTCTCCCCATGTCGCTCAGGCAGGTCTGAAACTCCTGGCCTCAAATGATCCTCCCACCTCAGTCTCCTGAGTTGCTGGGACTACAGGTGTGCAGCTGTGCCCAGCTAATTTTGTTTTGTTTTGTTTTGTTTTGTTTTGTTTTGTTTTTGTGTTTTTTGTAGAGATGAGGTCTTGCCATATTGCCTAGGCTGGTCTCAAACTCCTGGGCTCAAGCAATCCTCCTGACACAGCCTCCCAAAATGCTGGGAATACAGGCATGAGCCACCATGCTCAGCCTCTTAGAGCTGCTCTGACCTCTCTTTGCAAGTAAGATGTCCCTGGAAGAAGGGTTTGGGCAGTGGCATCAAAATTTGCATGGACCTGTGGGAGACAGAGGGTGCGGTCCAGGCCTGGCCTGTCTACACACCAGTCTTTTGATCTCCCTGCTCTGGTTTCCTCATTTGTGGTGGAATCATCATAGCTCCTCGCTCTCAGGGGACACATGCGAGGGTCTAATAGCCAGGATGGCCTCGAGTGGGCACTTCAGGGAGGTCAGCTGTGGGGGGCCTGTACATGTCACCTCCCCTTCCTAGGGGAGCCACGCTGTTATTTTGGGCAGGATCCAGGCTCCGGCCCTTTTCTTTGTTTTTGCTTTTCTTTCTCATGACATAGGCTAAGGCACACAGGACCTGCGTTGAGAGCAGGCCATCTTGGACAGACCTGTTGCCCTCTGAGCATTTCCCACAGTAAACGTAGTGATGATGTTTTGGCTTGTTTAGGGTCTGCCTGAGGGCTGGGTGTCTGTCTCGACTGACTCAGTGCTCTGATGGGAATGGCAGCGCAGCCTGGGCATTGGGCTAGATTTGTGTGTTTTTTTGGTTTAGAGATGGGGTCTTGCTATGCTGTCCAGACTGACCTCGAACTCTTGGGCTCAAGTGATTCTCCTGCCTCAGCCTCATGGGTAGCTGGGACTACAGGCCTCTGCGACTGTGCCCAACTGGTGTGTTTTTAATGTGCTCTGTGGAGGACGGAGGCCTCAGTGGGAGCCTGGATCACAGCTCGCTCTGGTCCTTCTCAGAATGGGAATGGAAGGGGTGAGACCATCAGGACATCCTGAGGGGCTGTGGAAGGGGTGGGTGAAGATGTGATTGGGGACCATAAGGTCATAAAGAGTCATCAAAATATGTAGCAATTCACCAAGTGCAGTGGCACACGTCTATAATCCCAGCACTTTGGGAGGCCGAGATGGGCGGATCACTTGAGGTCAGGAGTTCGAGACCAGCCTGGCCAACATGGTGAAACCCCGTCCCTAGTAAAATATAAAAATTATCTGGGTGTGGTGGCGCGAGCCTGTAATCCCAGCTACTCAGGAGGCTGAGGCAGGAAAAATCACTTGAACCGGGGAGGCAGAGGTTGCAGTGAGCTAAGATCGCGCCACTGCACTCCAGCCTGGGTGACGGAGCGAGAATCCATCTCAAAAAAAAAAAAATAACGAAAAGTGTAGCAATTGGCCCCGTCGTGGAACAGAGCAGATGGGGCTGGGACCCTGGGCAGTGTCCCAGAGGCTTCTGGCAGTTTCCACATGAGAGGTCCAGGGCCTCTGGGAGAGGTTTGGGATGGGGACATGCAGGGACTCAGGGCAGTGATTCTTTACTGTATGGACAGAGTGGAGATGTCCACATGAGCGCCACACTTAGTGCCCTCCTGCCTGTGTAGACACAGCCCTGCCCTGGTTGAGGTCGGGCTGCGGACTGGTGAGCCTCTAGTGGGTTCTCAGCGCTGCTCAGAAATCCTGCAACATTTCCTTAACAGTGAACTTCATGCTCCAAGAAACCCATTCTGTCTCTACCCCGCCTTCACCTCCATCACCTCTGTCTCATATTATGCTTCTGGTTCCTGACCCTGCAGGCAACGTTACTGGGGACAGAGTACCATCAGGCAACCACAGGGACCCCTTCTCCCGCCCAACTCCTGGGGTGCATCTGCACCCACCACCTCTGCCTTCTCCTTGGATGAAGCAGCATCGCCCATATCCAGGACACGCTTCTGCCATTGCTCCTTCTAGTCCCTTCCGCATGACTTAATCCCCCTCTTGCAGATCTTCCGATCCACCCATCAAGGTGGAAGAGCACCCATTTTGTTTATTTTTTATGTATGTATTTTTTGAGACAGGGTCTTGCTCTGTCGCCCAGGCTGGAGTGCAGTGGTGTAATCATGGCTCACTGTAACCTCCAACTCCTGGGCTCAGTGATACTCTCACCTTAGCCTCCCAAGTAGCTGGGACTATAGGCATGTGCCACCACGCCCAGCTAATTTTTTTTTTTTTTTTTTTTTTTTTTGGTGAAACAAGGTCTCGCTCTGTCACCCAGGCTGGAGTACAGTGGCGCGATCTCAGCTCACTGCAAGCTCTGCCTCCCGGGTTCACGCCATTCTCCTGCCTCAGCCTCCCAAGTAGCTGGGACTACAGGCGCCCGCCACCAGGCCCAGCTAATTTTTTGTATTTTTAGCAGAGACGGGGTTTCACTGTGTTAGCCAGGATGGTCTCAATCTCCTGACCTCGTGATCCGCCCGCCTCGGCCTCCCAAAGTGCTGGGATTACAGACATGAGCCACCACGCCCAGCCTAATCTTTTAATTTTTTTGTAGCAACAGTCTCACTATGTTGCCCAGGCTGGTCTTGAACTCCTGGCCTCAAGCAATCCTCCCACTTCAGCCTCCCAAAGTGCTGGAATTACAAGTGTGAGCCACCACGCCCAGCCAAGCCCCCATTTTATCCAGGAACCTCCAGCTCCTGGACCCCCTGCCGCTGGCCCCCTTTTCCCCAAAGATCCCCTCCTGTGAGGCCTCCAGGAGCCATCTGCCCTGGTCTCCGCCCACCCCCCTGCAGTCCCTCCGTGGTCCCCTCTGCTGCTTCTCCTCATCTCCCTGACCTTGTCGGCAAAGGAGGGAGAGCCCCAGACTCAGGCCTGGGAACCTCTCTTAGCTCCTGTAGTTCTCCTTTCATAATGGCCTCATCCTGTGTCCCAGCTCTCAATGCCCACACCGAGGTCTCCAGCCTGGGCTGCAACCCTGAACCCCAGGACCCCACATCTAGCCACTCTTGACTCATCCACTCGGTGTTGAACTCGCTGCAGGCCAGTGCAGCCAAATTGAATTCTGCATTTTTCCCTCTTCAAATCTTCTCTCCTTCAAGACTTTCTCATCCTTCCAGGCCCACGGTCAGTCTTGTTTCTGTCCTACTCCTCCTTGAGTAAGACCTCTTGGCTCCACCTCCTAAACTCTTCCAGAACCTACCCGCCTCTTCCACTTCTACCCTCACAGTCTGACCCCTCCCAGCAGCCAGAGGGAGCTGGTTCACAACTGCCCATAGGTCCCGTCACATCCTAGCTCGACCCTGATGGCTCCAAGCCAGGTGGTTCCATGGGCCCTCTTTGAGAAACCCCAGCCTAGGCTTTCTCACTCTTGGAGAGCAGGCTCCTTCCCCTGATACCTGACAAAAAAAGGGCTTTAAAAGCTACACACACACACACACACACACTCTCTCTCTCTCTCTATATATATATATATGTGTGTGTGTGTGTGTGTGTATATATATATATAAAAGCTGGGCATGGTGGCGGGCACCGTAATCCCAGCTACTTGGGAGGTCGAGGCAGGAGAACTGCTTGAACCTGGGAGATGGAGGTTGCAGTGAGCCAAGATTGTGCCATTGCACTCCAGCCTGGGCAACAAGAGTGAAACTCTGTCTCAAAAAAAAAAAAACCACTCCACACACCCTGTGCCCCTACTAGCAAATGCCAAGCCCCTTCAACTCTGGCCTGCCAGCCTCCCAGCCTCGCTCACTTCCACCCATCCCCTCACATACCTGGTCCAGCCCCCTGGCCTTCCTACAGCTCCACAAACCCACCAGGCTCAGTCCTGCCTCCTGACTTTTGCACTCGGTACCCTCTGCCAGGAGCACTCCCTGCCCCAGACCCTCTGGGAGCTTGCCTCTTGTCTCCCTCAGGTCTCTGCTCGGACACCACCTTTCTGACTCCCACACCTCCCTGCCCCTGCCCCCACTGCTCACTCTCTGTCTTCTTGTTTGCTTGTTTTTGAGACAAAGTCTCACTGTGTCACCCAGGCTGGATGCAGTGGTGCAATCTCGGTTCACTGCAACCTCTGCCTCCCGGGTTCAAGTGATTCTTCTGCCTCAGCCTCCCGAGTAGCTGGGACTACACTGCAACCTCTGCCTCCCGGGTTCAAGTGATTCTTCTGCCTCAGCCTCCTGAGTATTACAGTATTGCCTCAGTGTCCTGGGATTACAGGGGACACCACCACGCCAGGCTAATTTTTGTATTTTTTGGTAGAGATGGCGTTTTGCCATGTTGGCCAGGCTGGTCTCGAACTCCCTACCTCAAGTAATCTGCCCGCCTCGGCCTCCCAAAGTGCTGGGATTACAGGCATGAACCACTGCGGCCCGTTGGTCTTCTTAACACTTATCACCACTTAAAGTTCTGATAATGGGAGGGTGGGGGTGCCCACCTGCAGGCAGGGCTCTGTCAGTGCTCAGTCTCTGTGGAATGACTGAGGAGCACCAGCCTGACCCAGAACAGCCTAGAGGAGCACCTAGCACAGCCATCATGTCCTGTCAGCTCCTGCATGGCTGACTGTTTGCAAGAGGCCTCGCATGTCACCAGTGGATGACTCCGCTTGCCCCCCAGAGTGTCTGATGGGTCCTGATCCACGCCCTAGGTGTGGGTCTTACCTGCTTCAGGGTCCAGGCTCCCTAGAGCCAGGGTCTGGAGTGGGCACACAGCTCCAGGCTCCACCACTCCCCAAGTCCTTCCACTCTTGGCCTTGGCTTCTCCAGCTCTTCCCACACTCCCCTAGGGAGGCCCTGGTGCTTCAAAGTCAAGACCAAGTCCCCGCACTTTGGGAAGCTGAGGCAGGCAGATCACCTGAGGTCAGGAGTTCAAGACCAGCCTGGCCAACATGGTGAAACCCCGTCTCTAATAAAAATACAAAAATTAGCTGGGCGTGTTGGTGTGTGCCTGTAGTACCAGCTACTGGGGAGGCTGAGGCAGGAGAATCGCTTGAACCCGGGAGGTGGAGGTTGCAGTGAGCCAAGATGGCGCCATTGCACGAAGAAGAGCAAGAAGTCAAGAGCAAGGCATGGTCTTTGGGTCAGACAGAGCCAGGCGGGACTCTAAGTAGCTGTGGGGCATGGAGAGGTGACCTCTGTCTCCCCCATCTTGGTAGTGCTCCCAGGAGGGTACTCTGTACCCAGGAGGGCAGGCTGCAGCAACTCTGCTGTCCCCAGAACTCTCTGGGGCTCACTTGGTCAGGCGGTGGCTTAGTCGCCTTTCACAGTGGTCCCAGGGAATTTCATTTCCCTGCCATCCACATTCTGGCAGTTGCCAGCCTGTCCCCAGAAGGATCACTGGGCAGTGCTTCCTGGATTCGTTCTGAGGAAGAGGAGGTTGGCTTGTGCCCTGCCAGCTGTCCCCTCCCCCACCCCTTGCAGTAAGTCCTCAGCCTTCCTCCCTGAGCCTCTGCCAGGTTAGCGCCCCTCCTCATCTAAGGGTGGCCGGGGCCACGTGAGCGCTGGGGAAGCGGGAGTAACTGACACCAGTGAAGGCTGCCATAAGGCACCTGGGACTTCTCCCAAGCCAGGAGCAATCGGAGCTGACCAGAGACCCAGGGAGTCGGCAGGGAAGAGGAAGGGAGGGGCCTGGACCCAGACTTGGAGCCTGGGGCTGGACGCCAGCCGACACCAACACCAGACACAGCTCACCCAGCCCCAGTCCACGCCTGCCCTGCCTAAAGGTGACTTTGGAGGTGGTAGGAAGGAAGATCAAGTTTCCCTGGTCAGGAACAATACTAGATCCATAAATCCCTGTCCTCAGAGGCCATCAGACTCTCCCAGAACCCAAGGCGGAAGGAGTGTGCTGTGGGCTCTGGCAGCCACTCCCGGGAAGGTGAAACTGAGCTGGCCTACAGGGAACAGGGGGCCGCCCTGAAGGAGGGGCCGAGTCCAGCCCTTCTTCCCCGCTTCTCTCTCACGTGGGGTTTGGGGGGTCCAAGAAGAGTTGTGTCCAGACAGGGAAGTGGAGGGTGTTTGTCAGCATTCTCAAGCACAGATGGGGAAACTGAGGTTGGAGCAGACACAGGACAGAGGACACTGGGGGCAGCAGGGGCCCCTCCAGGAGCCCCTGGGGCAGGAGGCAGAGAGTCAGGTGGCCTCATTTGTCCATGGGGAAGGGGGCCAGGCCCCCACGGTGGATGCCAGGAGCCCAGCCTCTCGGGCCTCCCCTGGGATCCCCCAAGTAGCTCATCTAATGTTTGAGTAGGTCTAGATGGGGAAGTGCGGGGCTCGGGGAGGACGGGTGCCTACTTGTCAGAGTCATTCCACTGCTCAGAGACGTTGATGTGTTAGATTCAGGGACAGGAAATCGGCCGCCGTTTCCTGAGACAGTGGGGGCCTCCCTGGCCTCCTGCACATGCCCAGAGTGGCGATCTCCGGCAGATAGATGCAGACGCTCGCTCGCAGACTCAGTGCCACCCCCCACTTCCCCTCCGGGCTTCGCTTCGCTGAAACACAGAGAGGGCCAGACCCAGCAGTGGAGGGGCCCTGCCCCGGCCGCAGGCAGACAGGGACAGCTGCACAGGAAGCCCTCATCCGCACGAGTCACTCAGGCTCACCTGTTCAGCCTCGTGGCGCATCCCCTGGTGCCCTCCTGGGCTGGCAGGCACGGGGTCCCAGCCTTGAGGGCTACCCCAGAGGCAGGAGACAGGCAAGGCTGCTTCCTGGAGATAGCCACCTGGTCCCAGCAGGTCCCCAGGCCTCCTCCTGCTGTGGGTCCTGCTCAGGGACCAGTCCCTGAGCCCCGGAGGTGGTGGGGGCCAGCCCACCACTCCCTGCCCACCTTGAGCTTCCTGGGTGAGACACTATCCCTTAGGCTGGGCCTGAGTCCTTGGGCCTCACGAACCCAGGTGTGCAGGGCCGGTCACGTGACTTGGGGCTGTCTCGGGTTTCTCTCAGTGAGGGCCTCCTCCCTTATGGCCCAGGGAAGCCTAAAGATACCAGGGAAGATTCAGCAAAACATAGGGGCCTGTGGAATTGGCTGCACGGGCAGCTGGTCAGGCAGGCCTGGGGTTGACCAAATGCCCCACAGCCCACATGAGGCCACGCAGAGGCCTCCCCCGACACCTCCTCCCACATCTTGCAACCCCCGCCCCCAACACACACTCATGCCCTCTGTCCTTGACTTGGCCTTTGCATCTGCCCTGGACAACCCTCCTGTCCTGTCCAGGCCCCTCTCCTTCCTGTGCCCTGCCTGGACACCCGAGACCAAGTCTGGATACCTGGGTCCCCATAGACCCCCAGCTTACTTTCTTTCCCGTGCCCATATACCCAAGTCCACACATCCCTGCCCTTGGGGCTCAGCCCAGGCAGAACCAGTGACTCCAGGTTCCATGTGTGGTATGAGGTTTGTGTGGGCCCAAAGGGGAACCTGTGTCATGGCCTGCACGGTGGATGGTGCATTTGACCTTGGACAGGTCACATCCTTGCTTCTGGTCTCTGTTGCCTTGTCTGAAAATGGGTTATAAAAGCTCTTACTGTCAGCTGGGTGCAGTTGCTCACGCCTGTAATCCCGGCACTTTGAAAGACCGAGGCGGGCAGATCACTTGAAGCCAGGAGTTCAAGAGCAGCCTGGCCAACATGGCAAAACCCCGTCTCTACTAAAACCACAAAAAATTAGCTGGGCGTGGTGGCGGGTGCCTGTAGTCCTAGCTACTCAGTGGGCTGAGGCAGGAGAATCACTTGAACCAGGAGGTGGAGATTTCAGTGAGCCAAGATTGCGCCACTGCATTCCAGCCTGGGTGACTGCGAGACCCTGTCTCAAAAAAAAAAAAAAAAAAAATGAAAAGCTCTTAACGTCAGCCGGGCACAGTGGCTCACGCCTATAATTTCAGCACTTCGGGAGACAGAAGCAGGTGGACATGCTTGAGTCCAAGAGTTCGAGACCAGCCTGGGCAATATAGTGAGACCCCCCTCATCTCTACTAAAAATACAAAAATTAGCCAGACATGGTGGTGCATACCTGTAGTCCCAGCTATTTGGGAGGCTGAGGCAGGATAATTGCTTGAACCCCAGGGGACAGAGGTTGCAGTGAGCCAAGATCATGCTACTGCACTCCCAGCCTGGGTGACAGAGCGACACCCTGTCTCAAAAAACAAAAAAGCTCTTACTGTCTCTGGCTGTCCAGAGTCTAACATAACACCTAGTGTGCCAGAAGCAACACTAGCGTGTGCAGTGATAACTCCTTGCCCGTGGCCCTTCAGTGCTGCCGGGGGTTGGATAAACCCCTCTAAATCCACAAGAAAAATGGGCCTGGGACCTTGGCTCCTTGGCAGTGGAGGAAGGGCAGGTACATGTCCACCCCCAGCCCCACCTCGGCCTCTGGAGCTGCTGGGGGTAAACCAGGTCACATGGAGGGGATGGGATGGATGGCGTCCCAGCTGGGGTGAGGGTCTTCTAGCCAGCGCCTCTTGGGGACGCTTGCCTCTACCCCCAGCACCCCTGCTAATCACTTAGCAAGATGTGCATGAAATTTGACCTGTGCCTGCCCGATAGCGTCTCTGGGTACCAACCTCCCTCCTCAGCCCGCAGCGCTGCCCCAGCCCCGCGAAGGCCCTGCTCTGCTGGGGAGGGGCGTGTTTCCCCAAGAGGGCAGGCAGGCTCTCCGCATCCACCGGGGGGATTAGCGCCCCAAGGTTGCGGGTATAAAGCCACCTGCACACCCTGCTGTTCTATAGAGGCGGGCAAGGAGCAAAGAGGAGCAGGCAGGCCCCCCTGGACGGACAGACGGACAGGGGGCGGGTGGGGTGGTGGGGGACGAGCACCATGTTCTATGATTGCCTCTTCTCAGCTGCCTGTCAGCGTGAGTACCTGCCTCCCCGACTCCAAGCCCCTTGTGGTCCCCACCCCACTGAGGACAGAGGGTCGGGGAGGGAGGACTTGGCCACAGGCTAGCTCCCCGACTCCAAGCCCCTTGTGGTCCCCACCCCACTGAGGACAGAGGGTCGGGGAGGGAGGACTTGGCCACAGGCTAGCAAGACCTTCCAGGGACCGCTCCTCCGAGCAGCTTCCACTCCTGGGAAGTCAGGGGTCACCCCAGAGAATGTGGCCCCAGCGCCTCGGTCCTTCCAGCACTGCCAGGACCCTGGAGTGGACAGTCAGTTCCCTGCCTATCCACAAGTCCCGTCTGCTGGGAAGGGTCCAGCCTTCTGGGTCTTGAGCATCATAGCTCTTCAGTCACCCTATCTGGTCTGGCTTCAGGATGAGGAAAGCTGATGAGGGCTGCTTCCAGGTATTAAGGATCCTTGGTCCTGCAGGCCCCAGCCCACTCTGCCGCGTGGGCCCCTGATGGGTGCAGTCAGGGCTGGCTGGGGGTAAGCAGGACTTGGAGGGGCCTGACCTTGCTGGGGGTTGGCTTCAGGCTGCATCTTCCCCTCCAGGTGGGCTCAGGCTTAGGCTGGGGGCGGGGACAGCAGGCAGAGCTGACCTGGTGGCCCCTCCCCACAGAAGGTGCCATGCGGGCCAGCGAGACGGTGTCGGAGGCCAGCCCCGGCTCCACTGCCAGCCAGACCGGTGTTCCTACTCAGGTGGTTCAGCAGGTGCAGGGCACCCAGCAGGTAGGATGTGGCCCTCCCAGGGGGCGGGGGAGGGCCTGTGAGGGGGGCAGTGCAGGTTGCGGCCTTGGGGGCCTCGCCTCCCCTCCCTGCTTCCTGCTGTAGCCATCTGCTCACCTGTTCTTATCAAGATGTGCACAGCAGCCGCCCGCCACCCAGCCGCACCAGGCCTCCCTGGGGGAAGCGGCAGCTCAGCTCCTCCTGCCTTGTCTCCACAGCGGCTGCTGGTCCAGACGAGTGTGCAGGCCAAGCCAGGCCACGTGTCGCCCCTCCAGCTGACCAACATCCAAGTGCCCCAGCAGGTAAGGCTGGTGTACCTGGCCCCCACCCTGGAAGGCTCCCTCAGGGTGGAGGACCAACCCCTGTGGCAAACCAGGATCTGTCCTCACCAGGATCGGAGGAAGACGCCCCATCCAGGGGCTGCCCTACCTCCTGGCTCTGGGCAGTCACCTCCCCAGGGTGAGACTATCAGGCAGGGGCCATCAGGGACAGAGGAGCTGCAGGAGCCATCTCAGCAGAGAGAATAGGATGTATAGTTGGGAAGATGGTTTACGGGTCCAGCCTGGTGTCCTGAAGCAGAGAACCCAAGGCCAGGTTTTGAGTCAGCAGTCCGTAGCCAGCACAGGGTGGTCTGTGCCCCAGAAGGCTGCACATGAGGTGCCAGGCTCACCCGTTTCCAATTGATCAGCACAGAACTGGACAAAGTGCTGTCGGCTTTTGCAATGGCTCGGTCTCGGCTTGCTGCAACCTCCACCTGCCAGGTTCAAGCAATTCTCGTGCTTCAGCCTCCTGAGTAGCTGGGACTATAGGCGTGCATCTCCATGTCCCGCTAATTTCTGTACTATTAGTAGAAACGAGATTTCACCATGTTGGTCAGGCTGGTCTCGAACTCCTGACCTCAGGTGATCCACCTGCCTCGGCCTCCCAAAGTGCTGGGATTACAGATGTGAGCCACCGCACCCAGCCTAGTACTGTTGGGTTTTAAGGATGACAGCACATTCCACATGGCCTGACAACAACTCCAGCTCTGCCACTTCCTGGCTCTAGGACCTCAGATAAGCGCCTTTGCCATCCTGAGCCTTGGTGTCACCCTCTGCGAAGCGGGGGCAGTAGCTGAGCTTCATCAGGGCTGTCAGGGCGATTCTGTGAGCTAACAGGCGTGAAGCACTTAGAATGTCGCCTGGCACTGCGCAGATGCTCGGTGCTGTCATCAGTGATCTGCCTTCCCTCTCCCTCCCTGGCTCCAGGCTCTTCCCACGCAGCGTCTGGTGGTGCAGAGCGCAGCCCCAGGCAGCAAAGGTGGCCAGGTCTCCCTGACGGTCCACGGTACCCAGCAGGTGCACTCACCCCCAGAGGTAAGTGGTAGTCCTGTCAGCCGCCCTCCCCCCGATGTCTCCCCAGGTCAGCAATGTATCCCTATAGTATATTTGGGGCTCCCTGCCCCCCGCCAAGCCTACTTGCTCCTCCAAAGTCCTGCTTCCCTCTTCACTCCCAGTGCGACGCCCTTCTTGACCCCAGGTAGGGTGGCTTAGCTGCCGAATTCCTGGATCTGCCAGCTCTGAGCTAAGCGGCCGTGGAGCTCTGCTCTGGGAGAAGGAGGTGATTTCCTGGGTTGAGATGGCCCTGGCAGCTCCAGCTCAGGGAACTGCATTCGAGAAACAAAGTGGGTTCCTCTTCCCTCCGGAGGGTGGGACAGTCTCTTCCAGGAAGCCTCGGACCACAGGGTAGATTCTGGGGACCCCACCACCAATGAGGGTGTTGAAGCCAGGCTGTGGATGCTGTCTGCATTAGGAGCTCGGGGTCAGATGGCTGGCCCGGCCGCTTTCTCCTGTGCAACTCTGGGCAGGCCTCTGAGCTTTGTTTGGTTTTTGAGACAGAATCTCGCTCTGTCCCCCAGGCTGGAGTGCAGTGGTGCAATCTCAGCTCACTGCAACCTCCAGCTCCCGGGTTCAAGTGATTCTCCTGCCTCAGCCTCCTCAGTAGCTGGGATTACAGGCGTGCGCCACCACGCCCGGCTAATTTTTGTATTTTTAGTAGAGACGGGGTTTCACCATGTTGGCCAGGCTGGTCTTGAACTCCTGACCTCAGGTGATCTGCCCACCTCGGCCTCCCAAAGTGCTGGGATTACAGGCGTGAGCCACCACGCCCGGCCCCTTTGAGCCTTCTGAGCCCCCAGTTTTCTCTGTGTCAAACAACTGATGGTATCAACCACCCCTCAGCTTGCGGTGGGCATTACAGCCTGAGGCACAGCGGGGCTCAGAGCAGACACAGTGCTCCATGGCCAGCCTGCCTGGGCTCAGCCCTATGCCTCACCGCCTACAGCCGTGTGACCTGGGGCTTGTCCCTTCCCCTCTGCGCCTCCATTGGGAAGTGGGAGTGCCGTGAGATTCCAATGAGTACATTCAAAGCACTCAGTGCAGTGTCTGGTGGGAGTTGGCCCAATATCACACCAGAGGCTGCTGTCATTGCTGTCATTGCTATCATTGCTATAACCTTTGAGGATCAGCCCCTGGAGAGCGTCAGCGGTGCTGAGGGCACCACCCACCATCAGCCAACCTTGCTGGGGAGGGTTAAACCCCCATCATTGCCAGGAGTTGACTGGGGCCCTTGCAGGGAGTAGGCATTTGGATGCATGGGACGCAGTCAGTTAGCAGCCTGGGTGGTTGGGATAGGTCCCCACAGGCTGCCGCCCTCCCCAGACAGCTTTCCTGAGAAGGGTGTGTGTGAGGGCCCGGGTGTCCCAGAGGGAGTGCGAGTCCACCCCAGAGAGGATGCGAACGCACCCCAGCGGCACTCCTGTGTCTCCTTCCCTTACAGCAGTCGCCGGTGCAGGCCAACAGCTCTTCCAGCAAGACGGCTGGGGCCCCCACGGGCACGGTGCCACAGCAGCTGCAGGTCCACGGCGTCCAGCAGAGTGTCCCCGTCACCCAAGAGGTGCCAGGCCAAGGCGGGCAGCGGCTCGGGCCAGGGGTACCGGCCAGGCAGCCTCTGCAGCCCCCCATGGCTGTGCCTCTGGCCTGTTAGAGCCCAGCCCCTGTGGGTCCAGCCCCAGCCTGCCACCCTGGCCTTTGATAAGCATCTCTCCCTGTTTCCAGACTCAGCATCCTGGGGCTGGAGGATGGGGGAGCCGTGGGGAGGAGGAAATTGGACCTCCTGGAAGGAGACTGGGGCATAGTGGGCCAGGGGAACCACTTGGAGAAACCACCTGAGCCTCTTTGGGCCCATTTGCCTGAAGGAAGCCCTGAGGCCACATCCTGGCTCCTTCTGGGCAGGGTTTCAGGGAGGGGACCCAGTGCCCAAATCCACACCCAGCCTCTGCAAGGAGGCAGAGCCCTGAGCCGGCGCAGGTTAAGACACTGGGACTGTGTGCCACCTGGTTGTTACCAACGAAGTTGAGGGGTTCCCAGCCCCTTGAAAACATGAAATCCATAGACCCTTTCCCAAGTGTAAACAGAAACCCTGTCCCAGAGAATTCACAGATACTCCCCTGCCTGGCGCTAGAGCCCCCCAAACCTCCAGACCTGGGTCCAGGCCCCAGCTTCTCCACTCAGCACCCTCTTCCACCAGCCTCTGTCCCTGGCTCTGCACCCCTAGGATAATCCCCGCATCCCCACCACAGCACAGAACAGGGCAGACAGTTGACATGGGGGGCGGGGTGGGGACGAAAGATAACCCAAGGCCTTGCCTGCGGGTTCTTGGCACAGCTTCAGGGGCCTGTAGGGAGAGGGGGCGGAGAGCAGAGACCCCGCAGTTAGTCCCAGGTTCAACTCAGCCCTGCCGCTTCCTAGGAGCCTCACTTTGCCCGTGAGTAGGTGCCCATTAGTAATGGATCCAGCACCCTCCTTGCTTGGCTGGAAAACGGCAGCCTCTTGCTTATGGCCTGCTCTGAGCTTTACAGAAGGTCGCCCGTGCAGGGGCTGGGTGGGTTGACCGCCATCGTTGCCATGGTCATCTTAACGTTGCCTTTCCCCTCCCAGAGGTCTGTGGTCCAGGCCACTCCACAAGCTCCCAAAGCCGGCCCGGTGCAGCCGCTGACCGTGCAGGGCCTCCAGCCAGTCCACGTGGCTCAAGAGGTGTGTGTCTCCCCCTCCTACCCCAGGGGCAAAGGGGCTGGTCCCGGGCTGGGGCTGGGGAGTGCAGGCCCCTGAGGCCGCAGGGAGGGAAACGTCTCAGTGAGCTGCAGACCCTGCCCTAGATCCTTCCTCTTTCCTGGCCCCCTGGCAGCTCAGGGTCCAGGTTTTGCTAAGAGAGATCTGGATTCAAATCCCGCTTCTTTCTTGCGTGGCCCTGGGTCAGTTCTAACCCCTCTTCGAGACCCCGGGCGGCGGGGATCTTCCCTCGGGTGGCTGCGTGCGCGCTCAGCAACCCGGTGGGTGGAGGCCTGGAGCCCCACCCGCGGCCGCCCCCGTTGACCCCCCAGTGTCTCTGTTTGTCCTCCAGAGCTCAGGCAGTCAGTTTCCCGCTAGGAAGGCAGAGCAGCGAG